CACACCGTTTCAAAGTTTCTTTCCCACCACACCCTGTGCAGACTTTCAATCTAGTCCACTGTATGATGAACTGGAAGTGGCTTTCACATCGCTCCCTGGTGGCCTTAAAGAACTATTAATCTATGGCTCTCCATATTGCATTCAGATCTGCTTTCCCCAGCCACCACCTGGCCTGAAGTAAAGGCCAGAAGAGGACCCAGAGGACTGGACACTCTCTTATTATGAGCTGCACCAAGACACCTCTGGGTTTCTAAGCGCTTCCTCTGACAGTGACTGATGGCCAATTAACCATTTGCAGAAGAGTATTGATCACTTGGAGAACAGGGAGTATGTGGAAATGTCTCTTAACACACTACTATTCTCACTGTACAAAGTGAGCAGTCACACCGCACATCATGTGTACAAAAAAACAAACATTACCCTCTCCAAAATAAATGTATAGCCTTTTCACGCAAATACTACATCTAAAGGCTAGCACACACCAACACTGTCAAACCATATCCGTTTTCTCATAAACAAATGTTGGCCAAAAGATTCTGGGGAAGGAATCTACAGCCAAGTTCCTTCTGACAGCATTAGTATCTTCTATTGTGACTAACATCAACCTTCACGTGTCCCTATATTTGCTGAGGTGATGCCGCTGTGTTCTCCCAGCAAGAGAATACAGTGGCATCCAAGGTTCAAGGTCAAAATGGCATGTTCTTTATCTCCATGAGAGTGTAGGAGAGAGATTAACCTGGGAAAAGAACATTTGATTAGACCCTCCAGGGAAAGACTCACTGCTCAACTCAACAAGCCGACTTCCCATTGGTGGCCCTTGGATATGTGGGGGTGAGTGCGGGCACTGGATTGTTAGCAGCAACAGAAACACAACAGCCTAGACTGAGAGCAATCTCCCAACTGCTGATGCAATGCTACATACTGTGGCTTTCCATGAAGTACGGTAAAGGTTCCCATTGAAATATAGGGTATTCTCATCCCACATATCAGAGGTGAAAGGTCAATTTTATGCTACCTAGATAGAACACAGATAGTGACTAGGGTGGACTGCATTTCAGGAGGGAAACAGCCCAACTTCAACCCCTAAGCGCTCTCACATAGACCTGAATCATAGAAATGGGGTAATTGAAACAAAAGGGCAGAGTTTGACAGAGATGTAGTGCCTTTGCAGGGACTGTGCACAGACTGCAGAAAATAACACCTAACTCCTCCCTCTGCAAGGTTCATCCTCCACGTGTCCTCGGCTAAGGCTGTGTCCTTCCTTTGCTCCTCAAGATTGCCGTTTGCAAATGATAAGCACAGGGACATAGCGTTCTGAAAGATAAGGTGCCTGGGCATTTGTCACCAAATGGAGCGTGCTGCTCCATTGTTTAAAGCTGACCTGTGTTGACATGCACTGTTTACCTTTTATTCATTTATGCTGAACTATTATCTCTGCCTCCATTAATCACAGTAACTCAAACTGAAGAAATTTTGCAAGACCTGGACAGGCAGAAGAGTCATTCATTCCGTCTGCATTCTTCCTTTCAGACAAATTAACATGATGGAAATGCAATACATTTGATCAGCTCTGTCCTGCAAATACGCAATTCCAACTCACTTTTTCACTGTGATTTTGTCCAATTCAAATTCACTAGGCAGCATAAAATTCATAACAAGCATTTGTACTCCTGAGGAGTGAAATCATTTAAAGGTTTTTTTTTCTAAAGTGTAATTGCCTCCTTGCATGATATATTCCGCATTTTTACATCATGCTAATTTACTGGGTGAGTATCAGCAGTTGAGAAAATAAATAATTTTATATAAAATTTCCCTCCCCCAGTGCACAAGTCTTCCCGTTGTCTGTGTCATTTGAATACATCTCCCATGACTAGCGGGAACAAAAACTCTTTCTGGTTGCAAATTATCCCTTCCCTGTAAAAGACCATATCCCTGCAAATACATAGAGATGATCATTTGCCATGCATTAGCTATGGGACAGAAACGAAGTGGTTTTAAATTCCTTTGACCAGAAGGCAATTTCCCCCAATAAATTATGTTAATTTCAGTTTTTACTCTCCTTATCTCATTCTTTAGTGAGTCAATGAGGAGAGACAAAACTGGCTGTGAGAAAGACAACTCTGGGATGAGTCACATTAGAATGATGAGAAGTCTGGCAAAAGAATCTCTTATATTACTGTACTAAGAAATGGGAACTCGCAAATTACTGTATTATGCAATAGATTTCTGCTTGTTGTCATTTAATGGCCATCTCCTTGCATCATCACAAGGTTTACACCCCGTGGAAATTGCTCTGAGGTGACTGCTCACACAAGTACAAGGTGCCGGATACCAAATCCCATGCTCCCTCGCTGAACCAGACAACAATTGCTTGGCAACGCTCTCATTGGGCAGAGGGAAAAACAAAGACAAATCCAGGATTTTTATTCTCTCTGCATGGATTGCTGGCTTTTGATAATCTTTCCTTGAGGAAGTCACAAGGGACTAACAACTGGCAATAGACTAAAAGGCAAGCTTAAATAAACGGGAAACAACAGAGGCAACAGGAGTTGAAATAATCTGCAGACATACACCTAACACACGCAGCAGAAATGCATGTATGCAAATCCTTGTGGAAACATCCTCTTTCTATCTCACACACACACACACACACACACACACACACACACACACACAGGCAGGCACACACTTCGCATACTGAAAACATCAAGTGGTGTGGACATACAGGCAAAGCAGTACAGTTCTTTGTTCCTGAGGCTGAAAGGATACCTCTGTCCGGCCCGTCAGATCATTCACAACACAGTGAAAGGGAAAGTGCTTGGCTAGCACAAATCTAGATTGACAGGCCTACCTTTATTACTGACTGAGTTATGTTTCCCTGCAAAAAAGACAAGTCGGCTTTTGATACAGACGAATGCCAAGTCAGCACCTTGCCTTTCTACAGAGGATAGCTCGACTGATCTCAGCAGAGACTGTCCCAGCCCTGATGTAGAAAGAATTGGCTACCAAATTACCTTCCGATCCATTTCTGGAACTCACTCTGTCCTATAAAAGTAGCCTGTAAACTGTGATGAGAGCTTATAAGGATGCTTGTATTGACCTAATATATGATACTGAGTGACAGACTGAAACAGGGAGTGGGGTCTGCCTAGAAATATGATAAATAAGACAGAAAATAATAAAACGATTTTACCTATACCCCTAAATTCATCTATTTTTAAGAACTGGCTCATTGCTATTCAGGGTCACAGAAGGGCTGGGAACCTATCCCAGCATGCATTGAGTGAAAGGCAGTGAAACACCCCGGACAGAGCTTCAGTCTATCACAGAGCAAACAAAACAAAACGAAACAGTATCACACCTATGGGAATTTAGGTAATCACTGAACTACCACTATACCCATATAACCCAGCAACCCAATCAAAATACATCAGTTTCAACATGCATCATAAAATGACTTGTAAATACCACCGCACTGCTACTTATGTAGCTTGATATATGAGGTCCCTGGAGCATGATTGTTTATTTAATCCTAATATATTCATAATTATACACTAATTAATGCAAGAGAAAAGCCCTCTCAATTCATCATCACAGTATCCTGAAGCAAGAGACACAATTACACCAACTTTAACATGTTTGCCTTCTGTCCAAAGCAAGGTTAACAGTTTGGAAACAAGCACAAGGCAAATGATGTGTGTAATTCTTGTGTTTTGGATACTCACCAGCAGCTTCCAGCTGTGTGGCATTGCGAAGATGATATTTAACATCAGGGAGAATGAGTATTTAAAAAAAAAGTAGTAGTAAAGAAAACAGGCCATCAACTGCACTGGTGCATTATGGGCAACATGCATTGGTCAGATCACAGATACAACTGGCTTGATTGTGCACTATGCAGTAACCTGTAATATTAAGGGTCAGCGGCCAGCTGCACTCGATTTGTTATGTTGACTGTCATGAAAATTAAAATGTCATCTGCACAAGTAGGCTAGTTGTTACATACTCTTATTATAAGGCTATTTGATCTTTGAAATGAAAAATCTAATTGAGTTAAAAGGAAATCTGACAATCTATCTCACAAATGGCTTATTTGTAGCTGCTGAGGGAAACGTTTCTCCGGTCAGGGCACTTCAGTTCACCCCACTGTTGATGATTGTTTAGCACATCAAAGCACATTTGCATGCAATCGGCAGTGTCTAGCCAAGAGGCTACATCATAAAATGTAACTCATCAGTGCGAGTAGGTCGTCTACCAACTCCGTAAAGCTGTCACCATACTGCAAATGCAGCAGGAATGAGTCCTGGCCGGAGAGAAACGTGGAGTTGAATGATCCTGTTTGCAGCCAGCAGAGCACCCGGTTAGATGGATGAATACAGCCTCTGAATATACGGTTTGCCCACTCCGCTCTTGTGCAGCTCAAAGATTTAATAACAAAATGATTAGCGAGGTGATGTTCTTCTTATATTGGAATTAGACTCGCAGTCATGGTTGTTTATGTGACAGAATGAAAGGAGCGCAGTGTTACTGAGCACTGCCTTTTTATTGTCCACGGCCCGTCTGTTAAAACATCTCTTGAAGTGCATGTTTGTTCGCAGTCCATTCAAGCAGGTGAAGCCCGAACTTCCCCTTACACTCATGACGTTGGGGATAATATACATCACGGCGCTGCTTGAGATAGATATATTAGCAATATCAGAAAGCTGGACAATGATAGTTGACATTTGTGTCAAGTTTTAACCTTGGTAGACATGTCTGAGCCAACATACTCTCTCCTGTGTAACCTTGAAGGTGCAGGCTAATTGGTGAGCGTTAGTGCTAGCAAATTGTGGAACAATAACGTGCTCGTGTCATGCGCGGCTACATTTCGTCAAAGAAAAAACGCCAGCAAACTTGCACGTGCAGCCCCTTTTCAAAGCACTTACAGTGCTTTCCCCTGGCAAAAAAATGTTTACGAGTAGGCTACAATTGCTCAAAAGCACAAATGATATACTGAAACTCACCAGTGCAGGTAAAGCCAGCGAAGACGAGCCAGAGCACAAGGAGCGTAGCGCTGAACCAACAGCGGACAAAGGGGCCCCGAAGTAAGGGCATCTTCGTGTTTTTTTATCGCCTAAGTTTCAAAAGGCAGGGAGCAGAGGAGAAACACTGGCACGCTGGGCTTTTTAAGGTCCGAAGAGTGTCCTCTGTAGCACTTAACGCCTTTTTCACAACGCCCAAGTCTTTTCCTCAACACATATCCTTCTGCCGTACTGTGGCCATCAGCATCCCGGTCGTGCGTCCTCGTTGCTCTGAACAACGCATCACAGGTGTGGTGAATAAGCTGCTCCCTTGCTCGCCGCCGCGGGTTCTCTGTAGGCTACTGTATTACTCCAAAGCCGCACTCCGCTCACAACTCTGCCCTCTCAGTAAGCCGAGGAGGGGGGCAGTTTCTCTTGCTTCTTGTCACTTTGCAGCCTTTCGCGCGAAAGAACACCTTCTCCAAATGCGAAAATTGTAAGAATTGGCACCGGAGAGGAAACATCTGCTTGCACAGCAATGCTGGAGTGTTGAGAGAGTCTGGGAAGGTATACGCTGCGATGAGCGGAGCAGCAAAACCAGGAACGGATTCTGCGTGCTCGCCGGGAATGGAGCGTCCTCAGCGCTCCCTACTGTTATATCTTTTTCTTAGGCAAACATTTACATACTGAATAAGCATAACTAAGCTCATATTGGCCATGCACAACAGAATGGAAATTATTCCATCGTATTCTTGCAAGTGTGTATTTCATATTTTCTGCCTCACATGAAAATGATGGATATGACATTCAGTCCTGTATGAGAGGATCCCTGCTTTGCATACAAATCCACACAGATCACATCTGCATGTCATTGAGTTTCAGTTAAATGTGCCTCTGCTTTGTCTTGAGGTTTTGTGTGTCTACTGCAGTACACCAGTGACGGCCAGAGCACAGATGAAGAAGCATGAGGATTAGCGCTCCCATGAGAGTGTACACCTGTCAGCAAACCCAGACCAGGATGTGACTTATGTTCCAGATAGCTCTTCCTCATTTTCTGGAGGTGTCAGTGGGGTGATTTTCAGACTGTTCAGCCATGCCTTTTTACAATTGACAGCAGATTATTAATACACTTCAGAGGGGGGGGTTGTGTCTTTGTTTATCCATTTCTCCACTCCCACATACTAGTCAGCAGAATAATAAGTGGAAGCACAGAACTGGACCACTCTCTTACCAGCTAATTATGGGGCTCATGTAGATGGATGATTCCTCAGATAGAGCTCAGCTATTATACAAACTCATTAAGCCTTCTCTCCATCCAGCATCCCTTGCTAAAGGTCATAGTCACAGTCAGAATGACAGTACAAAGCACAGACACACGCATACATGCAGAAACGTTCATCCCCACAGCCATACAGTTTTACGATCAAATCCTGATGGGCACTGTGAATGTGAGGGGGTAAGAAAAAAAGGGCGGATGCACAGCAGCTAAATGCAAGAGAATGACTCAGCCCTGGTCACTTGTGAGGTTGCACGTAATGATCTCCCTCATTCTGCTAATCTGCTCTGTGTCCTATCAGGCAGTGCAAGCCGGAGCGTGTCTCTTCCAGTCACAGTATGTGCATTTCTTTTCTTTTTTTGTTTTCTGAAAACAGCTCTAGCTACATGCATTTCTAATGAGGATCTGAGAATATGTATACATAGTCACTTATATTATCCTCTTACAGGGAGGGAAGTTTTAAAGGAATTATTGTTGTTTTTTCTTGCTGTGATGTGTCTGCTGAGTCAAAGTAGGGCACAACCTCTTCTTCCACTGATTTCTCGGGGTCCAGCATCCGGCCCCCTTTTGCTCCCTCAATCAGACTACAATGAACAATCACAGCTCTTTGGGGAGCTGACACATTCAGTTGTTCATTGATTTGTGGTGTTGTAATTAATTTTCTCTCCGTCATTGGCTTGAGTTACAATATCCTGAGACTTGAAGCAGCTTGTTCTCCTGCAATCAATCACGAACCCAAGACAGAACCACCATTTCTCTTGTATCATCTTAAATTATTCACAGCAGCTTTGATCCAAAGAGACAAGCCTCAGTGACTGTTAAGTATTAAGAAAACAGGAGACTCATTTGTATGTTACAGATTGTTACTGTGTTTGTTGTTCCTGAGTCCTTCCATAAACTGCGCAATTATGCTTGCGACATGTGCAACCTATAAAGACAACTGATTCGCCTGGTCGATAAGCATCGATCCAACAAAGGTGTCCAGCATGAAATTAATATTATTTATTGTTTACAAACAACACACAAGGTCCCTTGAGGAGGATGCAGTGCAGGCCCTGACTGTCTGTGTTCCAGCACAGACTTGTGGAGAGAGAGAGAGAGAGAGTGAGAGCGAGAAAGTGGGTGTATCAACTTCCATCATGACCACAGCTTCACAGGCTACTGTTTTGTTTATATCAAATTAAACTGCAATGCTACTCCAGAGAGATATAATTGACCAAAGTCTCAGATTAAATGACTGTAAAGATCTTAATAAGCCATCAGCGGATTGCATATTACAATGCAAACCACTTATAAGGATGCAGTCCAATGAGATTGAAATTGAGGTTCAGATTTGCATGCCACAGCATTTTAGCCATTAATTGCTATGCAAATTTACTTTATGATGATCAATAGTATATCAATTTAATTAAATATTATTGATATGGAGTTAGAAAATTAATTAGAAGCAAAAACGAAATCACTGTAATGTTGGAAGAGTGGGTATTACTTTACATCTCCAGTGGGTCCTCCACTCTCTATTATAGATTATGATGGATAGGGAACCTATGTCATCCACTCTCTGTGAAATGACACTGAATATACATACATATATATATACGTACATATATACACATATATATTTTTTTATACAGTACTGGACTGGACTGCCCTGTAAGTACTATAAAAGCCAACTATAAAATCATCATCATTACATTATTAATACACATGGGGTTTTACTCCAGATCATTGTACCCATAGCTCTCACTAGTAAAAATGTTATGATCTGGAAATGCTATGCGTAGCTGTGACTTTGTTTAATTAAATGATGTCACACGAGTGGAGATAAAATAGTCCTGGTGTGATCTCACCACATCTTATGCAGTTGAGTGAGGAGCAAAACCAAATCAGTCAGAGTGAGAGATGGAGAGTTTAAAAAATAGAGAGGTATAAAGTTAAGGGGTGTGCATGTGTGTGTGTTTGTTTTTTTAATATACTATAACAATGGGGACTGACCAGCTTTGTGGGGACCAAAATGCTGGATCCCACAAGTTTAAAGGGCTGTTTGAGGGTTTAAGGGCTCAGGTTAGAATTAGGTTAGGACTGGGGTTAGGGAAAGGCTTAAGGTTTGGCATGTAGTTGTGGTGGTTAAGGTTAGGGTAAGAGCTAGGGAATGCATTATGTCTATGTCAATTAGATGTCCCCACAAACATAGTAAGACAAATAGCTGAGTGTGTGTGTGCGCGTGGTGTGTGTGTGTGCGCGCACGCGCACGCACGCTGAGGGTGGGGGTGGGGGATCCCACTGAAGGTCTCTCATTTTAGCAGCACAGACTGCTGATGAAGCTGAACTTCCAATATCCCACTGCTTCAGCTCTGATGATTTCTCAATTTTACAGATATGGCCCGAGAATGTGATTTGATGAAAATGTAAAATGGGATAACCACCAAATCATATGAAATGGGCAGCATTTTATTCCATGACTATAAATCAAAAGCAGACACTCTAAAAATTAAAGTTGATTTCGTGTGTTTGATTCAAAGTACAACTCTCCTGACTTGGAGCAAGAAAGGGTGTCCTGTCGTACCCTTAAATTAAGATTTTATTTCATGCAGATTCCTCACATTCTTTGTAAGCTCAAGAGCTTGATTGTTGAAAGAAGCCCAGGCAATATTTGAGTGTAGTCCTCCAAGAATTTTTTATTTTTTTTTCCAAAAGGGAATTCAAACAATTTATTCATGGAATGTGTTTCCATCCCAAATACATTCCCCTAATCTAAAGCACTGCTTGAGTGTTCGGGAATATATGATGATTTCATTTTCTTCCAGTCTCAGGATCATAAATAAATTTGCATTCTGTCAGCAAAATGGACTAACTGACTTGTAATTCATCAAACCCGCTGCTTAGTGCTTAAAGAGTTCAACACATGGTAACCTGATTTTTTTTTCTCTCTCACAGAATTGCCTCACAGCTGTGTGCTCTAATAGGTGAGGGGGAAGAAAAAGGGGCACTTACATTTTAAAGACCTCATAAAACAATAAAATAAAGAAGAGAAATGAACTCCACGAATGACACGTTTCCATGCGGGCTTTAATGATGAAAAGATGCATTTGCACAAGGAATACATTTTGTTTACCATTTTGAATGTAAAGGAAGCTCAAAGAATGAAGAACTCTTTAGGTATCAAATCACATCTAAATTGGGTGTGATTTGCTCAGTATAAAATCAGAATCTGCATTCTTTGCCCTCTTTGAATGATTTCTTATTAATTCAACATCCTGTAGGCCAGACAAAGAATAATATTATGACTTTATTGGAACCAACTTCAAAACATGAATATGCCATTTGATACCAGAGAATGGTTGACAGTAAAACGTGCCAAGCTGAAAGATTTGTTCCCACAAGTTTTTTTTCCAGCCTCTACATTTCATTATTCTCAACAAAAAAAGGTTTCCTGAAATATGCTTCCTGGACTGACGTTCTCTTGTTGTTTTGAATGTCACATTGTCTAAGCGTGCATGGGAGAGGAGACTTTGAATGATGTTGAATGTTTTATGACTCCCTGCTTTTGTGTCAGTCTTTCCCAGTGCTGCTCTGAGACTGCGATAGGAGTCTACCACTGCAGGATCTGACAGCGTAGGAGTAACACATACTTTAGGCTAGCCACACTTACCATTTGAGGAGCTTCATTTCAAAATACCATATATCAGCCCAGGGAAAATGTTACCTGAAATGTAAAACTAAAGATCAATCTTTAAAAAAAAAAAAAAAATCAATCAATCACAATGCTGCACATGGATTCTTGGCTGAAAACTAAGCATTTCCAGGACTGTTCCATAGAAAGTCCCATAATAATTTCTTATTGTTTAATAATCATAACATGCATTTTACTAATTTCCAATCAACCATCCAATCAGCAACCATTGTATAGATATTTTTTATTACCTAGAGAGATGTACTATCTGCCATTACCAGCAATGGAAAGTAAGTAACAAAGTACATTAACTTATCTACAGTACTTAAGCATATTTTTGATGTACTTGTACTTTAATTTTAAACTACTTTATACTTTACCACATTCCAGAGGCAAAACATTTACTTTTTACCCCACTACATTACACCCACAGTTGCTTGTTGCCTTAAACATTAAAATTTTCTATATAAAACATGCTATGATGCTATGAAAATTAGTAACTTACCCTGGAGTAGACTGATAAACATAAATGCTAGATGTCTTTAGGTATTGCAAATATGTCAGTTTTACAGAGAAATCTTAAGATTGCTGATAACCATCTGGTAATGTATTCTCTGTTCACACCAGTAA